CTGCTGTCATGACAACAGCCCCTCCTTTGCATTCTCATATCATGTGGGGCTAGAGCACAGGCTAGGTCTTCGGAACTGTGGGCTCTGGGCTCAGGGACCCTCCTAAGCAGTGAGACTCGTGGGCTAGCCCAGAGATGCTGGGGCAACTACTTGGCTTGCTCGCTGCCCTTTTTTTCCTCCCTTCATGTTTTCTTGTTTGTGGCTGAACACTAGGCAAAATTACCTTCAGAGAAGTACTATAGTTATCATGAGATTTAGTAACATCCCTCCAGGGTAGTAGTGATAGCTATTATGATTTGTCTGTTTCGTGTAGCTATGAATATAAAATTTATTAAATAGACTTGTATTAATTCTAACAGATATTATGATTGATTCAACAGATTTCCCCCTTTTTCCTATTTTTAGCAGCCCTGTGCATCAGGGGGAGTGGCCCAGCTCCAGGGATGGGCCTTGATTGATCTAAATTTAGGGATGGGTTTAGATTAATCCAATCTTGGTCACTGCCCAGGGCAGTGATTAGTTCAGGAGCTCAGCCTTGGCTCCTGGAACATGACATTCCCATGGTTATAAACCCAGAAATGAGACATGAAGGAAAGGTCGCTGGAGGCTTTGGGGAAACATTTCCTCACATTCAAGAGTGAGGCACAGGAAGATGATAGCTTTTCTTCTCAGTATTGCTGTTGTGGTCAGGAACTGCTATCAGTCAGAGGATGAAATTGACACTCCCATGAGGGCAGACCCAACGGAGGTACAGAGAAAGGAGCCGGAACTACTGACTGAGCCATCCCCGAACCCCAGCTCACCACTGGGCTTGTCATATGAGTCAACAAATTACCTGAAGCTAGTTTGATTGGGGTTTCTATTATTTGCAGCAGAAAACATCCTAATCAGTATAATTATATTATTATCCTTATGACTGGCTATTCTTTTAATCCTGGAGTAGGCTCTTTTCTTCAAATTCGTTTTTGGTTTTTCTGTAGGGGGAGGTTTATGTATTTATTTTTAGAAGAGGTACTGGGGACTGAACCCAGGACCTCCTGAGTGCTAGGCACGCACTCTACCACTTGAGCTATACCCTCCCCACCTCCCTGTCTTTTCTTTAAATTTTAAAGTGAGTGTAAATGCACTATATATTCTACGGATGTTATTGTCAACATGAATTATAATGTAGAGATCTTCATTTTCTTACTGTAATAAGATTTCACTGCATCCTTACTCACTATAGTCTGCTAAGAAATCTCTGAACATCCAGGGTTTTCTTAGCTCTCTCCGCACTTAGTAGAATTTAACCTTTACTTAATTGCATAAGGGTATTAAACCTTTTGTTTAGTGTCTACTGTATCTGTGTTTCTGTGTGCAGCCTAATTGGCAAAGAAAGGCTAGAGCCCTTGCTCATGTGAGAGCAATTCAGAGCAATACGTTAATAAACCCAGACACGCAGGATTGAACTACCGTGGGAAAACCCTGCCTTGAGGTGGGGATGGATAAGGCTGAGCAAAGAGCCAAGAAGGGAAGGAGGGCCGGGACCGCATGGGGTAGAGGGGCATCAGAGAAGGCTGCCCAGTGAGGTGGCCATGTACATGCAGAGGGTGGAGGTGTGGGGCCCCCGAGAGACACAGAGGCCAAGGCTGCAGAGAGAAGCTGTGAGGATTGCGGCGTGGGAAGAGCGCACATCAATGGGGAAAGGCTGACTGCCTGGCTGAGGATGTTGGATCTGTGGCTTCTTAAATAGTGGGGTGGTGTTGGTACCACAGGGATTATTGTAAGTTACTCTCACGGTGGCCGCAGGGGAATCAGGCCAGGGACAGATGC